TTGTACCTCAAACTTCAGAAAGTCTTATTTCACAATACAAAATGTGTTTCAAAAGAGTTGCTAATGACATTATAATTTACTCCATTTTTGATTGTCTAAGGTAAGGAGGGGTCAACTAGCACCACAATTTTGTAGAAAAGCTTTGAAATACTTGCAGTGAAAATAAGTTTCTATAATGAACTGTACTGATCCTCAGAATTAAGAATAACAGCAAATCCTTCCAAATAACCTAACTTAATATTATGTATAATGTTAATAAATAAAAATGTAAGTTCAGTCTTTCCTACAACAAAACTAAATATCAGTATATTAAAAAGAAAGCTGTTGTAATTTTTTCTCAGTGACTTTGTGAAATCTCTTTTCTACACTTGGCCCCATCATGGACTGTGAAATACATTAAGATTCAGCAGGACTGGAAAGGAGGAACAACTGACAATGTTGTCCTGACAATGCTGAAACTCTCCTCATCTGAGCCTGTGTTCCTAAAGTATCAAAGGTCTGAAATCCCCGCCACATTTAGTATTCCTGAGAATGACCACTCTGCTCACATATTCCAAGATCAGGCCCACTCCTACCCTTCCCCAGTGAATGTGACTCACTTGCATACCTGGCTCTTTGAAGCTCTTGGCCTCCTTCCTTTTCTTTGAGATGTTTCTCATTAATAAATGCTCCTTTTCTATTCCAGTAAACTGAAAAAAAAAAATCATCTTCTTAAATGTCCAGTGCGTTATTTTTCTGCGGTTTCTTTAAAAGAGAGAAAAATTGTGTTTAAGTTATTTTATAAATCCAGGAAAGAAAAAAATTTGCAGTTGGAAAAGCAAGACACTTGAGTGTGACAGAGCAGCCGAAAGCAGTGTTTACAGAGAAAGACTAGGTGGCTCCATTCCATAAAATGAGGTAGCTGAATATAACATTTGCTTTGTCAAGGCTCCTATAAGAAATAACAGCAGCACTGTACAGAACTGATGTTGAAATAGCAGTTTTCATGTCACTTGTTTCTCTTGCTTCTTTGAGGGTGTTGTTTATTCTCATTGAAATGTTGATCAATAATGAAGCGGCAGAAATAAATATAAATAGATGTAATTCTTTCTCTAATTTATCTCCATGTTAAAAAAATTGTATGTACAGGGGTGTGTGTATGATTTGAACAGGCTTATAAGTGGCACAATAAGGAACAATAGATCTTAGCCCATGAAGATTAACCCACCTGCAAGGATTAAGACAATGCAATACAAGTTAGTTATGGATTTCCTTTGTAGCAACTCATATGCAAATATTTGCAACTTCAGTTACTCTCTTACTATAAAAGATGGCAAAGGTTTAAAAATGGTGATAGCAGTCATGGAAAGAAGCAGGTTTTCAACATAGGACTGCTTCAATGTAAGTATTTTAGACAATGCAGAAACTTCCATTATGAAAAGGGAATGCCAGCAGACATATATAATATGCCCCTGCTTCATAGGGAAATGAACTAAAAATTTAAAAGGTTCTTCAATTACAGTAATCTACACCTCAGAGCTTCTAGGCAGACTCCATGAGGAGTCTGATATGGCAGGTTCTAGTTGCAGACAGGGATTCTTCTAAAGGAAATAAAGTGCAGAAATTAGTCATGGCTAGACATTTCATTTACTGCACACCTTACTTTTAAATGTTCTTACATTGTTAGTTGCAACCTATCGAAATGGTACAATAGAAAATGACAATAATGTCCTATACAGGACGAGATGGGTTAAGTAAACTATGGTGTACCCATTCAGGTGGACAGCTCTGTGAGCATATAAAAATCAGTTTTCAGGGAAAAAGACATGAGAAGTTGTTTAATGCAGAGAAGAAAATCTGGCTACAAATAGACACTTTACCTAACACAAATGTAAGTTCAATAAGGAGTGAGCCAATGCCCCATCTTTCTGCTACTGTATCCCCAGCAGATAGTGCTTGATACAAGTGCTTAAATTAATAAAACACAAGTGTTGACAAAGGGTTCCATTTGAAAATGTAAATGATGTGGCAGAAAACCTCTAAGAATGCACACCAAAATGTTAATTTCTGCAGATGAATTTTTTTTTTTGCCATTGGTATTTAAAATTTTTTTAATAATGAAGTTTTATTTCTAACCAGAACAGAAACACAAAACTAAGTTAAAATATACACTCATGGTTTTCCAAATAGTTCCTATAAAATAGCCCATTTCTATATTTGTATAGTTATAAGAGCTAGCTGGCTTCTTAATCATGAGCAGCTTATTTTCTGAAATCCTTGCATTTTATCCAGGCTTATCCCTCAGTGAACAATCATGTCTGTTCCGGGATTGTGATGAGTAAATGAAGTGAAAATCAAAATGAAGTAACTCTTATATGCTGTCTTCACTCTCATATTTTTCAGGTAAACTGTGGTTTCAATTGTTCTTGAGCAGAACGAACAGAAACTTGTTGCTACCAAGAAGAAATGAAGCTAATGGGAACAGCCCTCTCTTCACAGTCTTCACAAGCCACCAATCTCAAGAGAAGAAAACTGGCAAAACTCCTAGGAGCTCAATATCTCAAATGCTCCATTGACCCCTTGAGTATATAAATATATTTTCTTTCTCAGTATTAGACGAACATTACTGAAGAATACAATGCCTGTATTGCTAGCCATTAACAAAAGTTATGTTTGATTGGCTAACAACTGTGCATTAATGTTCTCCAGAGGAATGCCAAGTGTGTGGGGTGTGATAGAGACTCATTCTCCTAGACTAGATTGCCAAATGTATTCAGTGATGCGCGGATTCAAAATGTAAGGAAATGAATATGCCCAGGGAAGCATTCGACATATTGGAATGTTATACTTCAAAGTATATGAAAAAAACCAAAGAGCCTGAAGAACCTGAGTATTGGATGAAGAGAATATGGAGATTTATTCTGTTCATTTTGTCCCTTTTTAAACATCTGGTTTTAGTCAAATCAGAAATGTAATGCAATTGTAGTGCTTAAGCAAATAATAGCCAAAATTCCTGGCCATCTAGGATATTAATCTGTGCTGTATTTTGAAAATATAATCCTAATAAATATCATTAGTAAATCAAACTAAAACCCATTAAATAAATAGTTTTAAAAGTTTATTTATGGTCTATCTACAATGAAATGGAGAAGGGTTTTAATACATTATATTAGCTCATTTTCAAGAGAGATCCTTGTAAAAATATAATCCTTGGGAAGTTTCAGCAAAAGAACTGGAAAAGTTGTATTAAGAAAAAATAGAATGAAGTATCCCAGAGTTAGCCTGCTTGTGAGGGAAGTCATAATAGAAAACAATTTTCCTTTTAATATTTTGTACCAGGTGGGAAGATATTTTCTAGAACCCTCTGTGATTCACACAACAGAGAACCAAAACCACCGTTATTGGTTTAAAAAGCAGAAAGTTTTGTCTTTCATTGATGAAAATAATTCAAATCATTTTGATTTACTTTATGGTGAAATAAAAGGAAATACACTGAAAGTAGTACACCATTTCTGAATTTATTTCCTCTTAATTCAACTCTGCAATCAAAATAGGTATGAGTGGGCTTCTGCCAAGGGCTTTTCTTAAATTGAATCTGTTCAGAAAATACTCAAAATAAAAGCATGCACACTGCCGATCTGCAAAATGAACACTGATCATAGGAGGTTTTTCTACTTAACAAACATTTATTTAATATCCACTTGACCTGGTTTACTTGGTTCAACCAAAGATATTAAGGATTACCATGGGATAAATACATTTTGTTCAGTTTTTTCACTCAATACAATACCTGAAGCACTCCAGTTGTTTATCAATTGAGAGCCCACATCCCTTTGGAGATGTTCTTTTCCTCTTTCTTGTATCCCCTTCAGAACTCACACAAGACAGTGTACATACTTTCATTTTAATATCTGCTATGTGTTATAGCTCCAGTTCATCAGTTCTGCTGGCTAAGTGCACTTAGAGAAGGCAGGAATGCTATTTCATATTCATTTTTTCAGTACATAACACTTAGTAAAGTGCCTGGCACACGCAGGTGGTCAATAAACATTTGTTGAACAAAGTGATTAAAAACTTCTAAAAAGTTGTGAAAACAACATACTGTCTACAAAATGCAAGATGTTATTATTGATGACTGATGTATTAATTCTAATATTAGAATGAGAAGAATGAGTGGAAATTTAGCTTCCTCTCCACTTATGCTCATAAATATATGAAACAATATTTATTTTATATATATGCCACACATATATATATATATATTTTGAGATGTTGTCTCGCTCTGTCACCGAAGCAGAGTGCAGTGGCACAATCTCAGCTCAACATAACCTCTGCCTCCCACGCTCAAGTGATTCTCCTGCCTCAGCCTCTCGAGTAGTACAGGACTACAGGTGTATGCCACCATGCCGGCTAATTTTGTATTTTTAGTAGAGACAGGGTTTCAACATGTTGGCCATGCTGGTCTTGAACTCCTGACCTCAAATGATCTGTCCACCTCAGCCTCCCAAAGTGTTGGGATAACAGGCATGAGCCACCGCACCTGGCCTGAAACAATATTTAAATAAGAATAAAGACTTAACTGGAGAAGGAGATTGGAGATCCTTCGTGAGGACTTGATCGTGTGAGTGCGGTGATACCACTCAATGTGATGTTCTGCCAAGGATGGCTGAGCTTCTGCAGATAACCAGGCACTTGACTGGCAGTAAGAAACAAAATATCCTTGGATTGTTTATAGTAGTCCAGCTTTTCCCTAGTTAACAAAGAACATTTCATGAAGAAAAAGAAGGAGGGTTCACATGAAGTAGTTACAAAGCCCCCAATGGAAGCCTGTTTTCCCCCGTAATACACATGCCTGTGACTTATTTATGAGTCAGAACTTTTCTAGGGCCTAAACTCTTTCTTAGATGTAAATAAGTCAGCTTTCAAATTTTCATTAGGGCAGGAGAGGTGACTGGCTCTTCCAGTTCCATGTAGACTATTCACCTCATATTCAAGAGTTTGTTTCAACATCGTCTGGCTTTAAAGTTGTATACATGTGAAATTCCCCTTCATACATATACACCCCAGTAAAACAAATTAAATAAAATATACACAACGGGGAATAAAATCCTAGAATAGGTGTCAATGACATGGTTGTTTTCCAGAATGATTCTACCAACATGTCCTCCTAGGGATTTTCTTCTCTTTATCCGAGTTGAATCGGTGCTGGGGCTGCGTATCGCATTTTCTTCTCAAGAAGTCTTCTGAGTTTAGAGAGAGGGGAAGTCTGGTCCATGTCAATCTCGGCTGTCATGGTAACAACCATCAAAGGCCAGCGCTTGAACTGCATCGATATTGTACATCCTAGAAATCTGTCAAAAAAAAATTTTTTAAGTAGGTCTTGAATATGGTTTTACAAATAGGAATTACAGTAAATAATGTTAATAAAGCAACATGATTTATCAGAACAGCAATATAAGCCAATTGATTTGTTTTTCAACTATTTTTCCTCTTGTAGAAAATATAGCAGTATCCTCAGTCAGTGTATATATATTTTTTGGTCCAAAACTAAAACCATGTCATTGGTGATACATTTATGCTTGGGGATGGATAGGGAGATCATTGCCCATTCAAAATGCAAATTAGCCAGGCCTTCCCATTTTTGCTTTTAAGAGCACCTATAAATGATCCTAACATAGCCCAATTAAACAACATAGAATTGGTTTATTTTTCTGAAGGAGCAAATTATCAATGCTTTCTGGCTCCAGTGCCTGATTGAATCAAAACTAAAATTTTCTTGCTCTCACTCTGGAGGAAGATAGCGGTTCTTTACTTAGTTTAGGAGCCGTGTCTATGTGTGAAGCAGCTGTTACTAATTGCTCTTGGAGAAAACAAAATCACTTCTTGATTCATAGGGAAGTTCAAAAATGAACAAATAGAGGCTACTACTGGATGAAATTATTCAGAATTCAAATTGGAGGCTGCAGAATAAATTCTTCCAAAACATGTATTTGATTTATAGTGATTTAAAAACCTAATATTTTTCAAAAGACATGAAGACGCTTTGTGCAGTCATGAACTAATTAAGGACTCATACTTGAGTTACGCTTGAACCCTTTTTTAACCTTTAAATTAAAATTTATTATTATAAAGTTTTATTTATCGAGACAGGGTCTCGCTCTGTCATCTAGGCTCGAGTGCAGTGGTGTGATGGATAGTCTACTGCAGGCCTGACCTCCTGGGCTCAAAATGATCATTTCCGGCTCAGCTTCCCGAGGAGGATGGACTATAGACACACATCACTACACTAGGGCTAATTTTTTTTTTTCACTCATTCTCTTTTATTTAAGCAGGGCTTGATCAGAAAGAAGAGCTCAGAGGAGTGAGGCAACACCAACACCAGGGCATATGATTCATCCAAGGCTCCCTGACACCAGTTCCAGCCCAGATGGGGCTTGAAGTGGCTTGGAGGCCCCCATAGCCATGGGGCAAATGGAAGACATGAAAGCCAAACCTTAGGACCCAAAGAGTGAATATGTCTGTGTGCTGCACCATCACTGTCGGGTACCCCTGCAGACGACACATAATAGATACATCCTCAGAGATAGTATTTTATTTTATTTTTTAGTAGAGACGAGGTCCTGTTATGTTGCTGAAGCTGGTCTTCAACTCCTGAGCTTAGGTAATGCTTCTGCCTTGGCCTCCCAAAGCAGGTGGGATTATACATGAGCTACCACACCCGGCCAAGAAAGAAAATAGCTATTTTTCCTCTTTCTGAGCAATGGTCAGCACCAGGGATACATTTTCCAGACCGGCTGTTCTTCCAGTTCTGGAGTATTCTGGGAGGGAGGTAGTAGGAATGTATATGAACATGATGGGTAGTGGGTGGTAGTGATGTGTGGTGGTGGATGGTAATAATGTGAGATGGATGGTGGTGGCAGATGATGGAGGTGGTGGAGTGGTGGTGGTGCATGGTGGGTGGTGGTGGTGGTGAATGGTGGTGGTGGATGGTTGTGGTGGTGGATGGTGGTGGTGGGTGATAGGTGGGTGGTGTGGCTGATAGTGGTGGTGTTGTGTGGTGGTGGAACTGTTGGGTGGAATGGTGGTGGTAGGTATTGGTGTCTGGGTGGTGATGGTAGATGGTGCTCTGCGGGGTAGTGTTTGATAGTGGTGGATGGGTGGCCGTGGTGGGTGGCGACGTGGTGATGGTGGATGGTGATGGATGATGGTGGAGGGTGGGGTGTTAGGTGAGTGGTGGTGGTGCTAGGGTGGTGGTATCGGTGTGTGGGTGGTGGTGGTGGTGAAATGTGGTGGTGGTGGTGATAGATGGTGTTGTGTGGTGGGTGGAAACTGTTGGTGAATGGTGGTGGTAGGTATTGTGTCTGTAGAGGGTAGATGGTGTCATGATGGTGGTGTTTGGTAGTGGGTGGATGGTGGTCAGTGGTGGGTGTGGTGGTAAGTGGTGTGATGGTGGATGGTGGCGGATGATGGTGAGTGGTGTGTAGTGGTGAATGGTGGTAGGTGGTGGACAGTGGTAGTGGTGGGATGGTGGCCGTGGTGGGTGTGTGCGGTGATGGTGGATGGTGATGGATGATGGTGAGTGGTGGGTGGTATAGGTGGTGAATGGTGGTAGTGGTGGACAGTGGTAGTGGTGGATGGTGGTCATGGTGGGTGGTGGTAAGTGGTGATGGTGGATGGTGATGGATGATGGTGGAGGGTGGGGTGGCAGGTGGTGAATGGTGGCAGTGGTGGACAGTGGTAGTGTGATGGTGGTGGGTGGCAGTGGTGGTAAATGCGGTGGTGGTGGTAGGTGGTGGCGGGGTGGTAGATGGTATTGGTCATGGTTGGTGGTGTTGGTAGGTGGTGGATGGTGGTGAGGGTATATGGTAGTGGTGGTGGGTGGTGATGGTGGTGGTGATGGTATTGGTGGATGTTGGGTGATGGGTAGAGATGATGGTGTGTTGACAATGGTGGTAAGATAGCAGGATGTAGTGGTGGTTGATAAGGATGGGTGGTGGTTGGTGATGTTAGTGGATGGTGGTGGTATTGGTGGATGGTGGTGTGGATGGTGGGTGAACAGTGGTTGATGATGGTGTTGGGTGGTGGGGATGGTGGTGGTGGATATGGGGGATGGTATGATGGCAGGTGGTATGGGTGGTTGGTAGAAAGTTGTGGCCAGTGGGTGAGCCGTGGGTGGTGCGTGGTGGTGTTGGGTGGTGGTGGTGTTGATGGTGGTTGGGGTAGATCGGTGGTAGTGGGTGATAAGTGATGGTAGGAATGGTAGGTGGTGGGGTGTGTGTGGTGGTGTTGATGGTGGCTGGGGACGGTGGTAGTGGTAGAAGTGATGGGTGGTGTTGGTGCAGTGGTGGTGGTGGTGGTGGGTGGTGCTGGATGCAGGTTGGAGTAGACGGTGGTAGTGGATGGTATGATGGGTGGTGAGCAGTGGTGGTGGTGGTGGTGGGTGGTGTGTGGTGGTGTTGGATGGTGGTTGGGGTAGACGGTGGTAGTGGGTGGTAAGTGATGGGTGGTGAGCAGTGGTGGTGGTGGTGGGTGGTGGGTGGTGGTGTTGGATGGTGGTTGGGGTAGACGGTGGTAGTGGGTGGTAAGTGATGGGTGGTGAGCAGTGGTGGTGGTGGTGGGTGGTGTGTGGTGGTGTTGGATGGTGGTTGGGGTAGATGGTGGTAGTGGGTGGTAAGTGATGGGTGGTGAGTGGTGGTGGTGGGCAGTGGGTGGTGGGTGGTGAGGGTTGGTGATGGTGGTGGTGATGGTATTGGTGGATGTTGGGTGATGGTGGTAGATGATGGTGTTGGATAATGGTGGTGGGTGATAGCAGGATGTAGTGGTGGTTGATATGATGGGTGGTGGTTGGTGATGTTAGTGGATGGTGGTGGTGTTGGTGGATGGTGGTAGAGGGTGGATGGTGCTGGGTGGTGGGTGATGGTGGTGGGTGGTGGATGGTAATGGTAATGGTGGTAGGAGAGTGATGAAAACAAGTTTTGCCTGATTTGTTTTCATAGAGAGGAACTCCATTGTGAGGCCTAACACTCCAGCCCTTTCTCATCGTCCTTCAGTCACTCTACTGTAGTGGTCTGGGAAAAGAAACTGGCATGTTTGGCTCAGTCCCTTTAGAGTCCTCCATTTGGTGTCTGCATTGGTGTCCAGGTCTCTTCTCTGAAATGAAGTGAAAAGATGCTGTCCTTCCAGGGATAAGCCTGAACATTGTTTTGCCAGTGACCAAGACAGTGAGTACATTTAAGCTAGTGATGAACTATTAGTGAGCCCTCCTGCTCACAGATCTAAGCAACATTCTCCAAACTGCTTGACATTGTTATATCCATATATCTGGCTCCCACAACTGGCTCCCTAATACTGGCTTCCAACTCCATATGTATAGAGAGGTGTCATCTATTAGCCCCCAAACCCACAGACGTTTCTTCTACCCAGCCCCTCCCATTGCATCTTATTTCTTCCAAGGTATCTCATCTCACTGGATTTGTTCCCACTCTTCCTAGTAATACTCTTATTCTGTCAGGGCAGGTGTTCTGGGCACTACTCACAATAAGAACTTCCATTTGTATAGCACTTTATTTGCAAAGGTTTCAGGCCCTTTTATTATATCACTTGATCACCACAACAGCCCTGTGAAGTAAATGGGGAAGAAATGACACCATTGTGTAAGCACAGAAGGGGTTTAGGAGACTAACCTGGAACACAAAGCTGGGATGTGGTGGATTTGGTTTGCCATCAAGACTTCCTCTTTTTTTTTTTTTTTTTTTTTTGAGACAGAGTCGTCCTCTGTCACCCAGGCTGTAGTGCAGTGGTGCAATCACAGCTCACTGCAACCTCGGCCTCCCAGGTTCAAACAATTCTCCTGCCTGAGCCTCCTGAGTAGCTGGGATTACAGGTGCCCACCACACGCCCGGCTAATTTTTGTATTTTTAGTAGACATGGGGTTTCATATGTTGGCCAGGCTGGTCTGGAATTCCTGACCTTAAGAAATCCACCTGCCTCGGCCTCCCAAAGTGCTGGCGTGAGCCACTGCACCTGGCCTGCCATCTCTTCTTCTGACTTCAATCATTTCTTGGTTTTGTCCCACAAAGATATGAATGGCAAATAGGACATTCCTTTGAGATAACTGCATTTATTTGAGATAATTGAGGATGCTTAGAATGGTGGTTTCCAGGTCCTGGGGGTTGGGGAATATGGGAAGTTGCTCTTTGATGGGTATAGAGTTTCAGTTGTGCGAGATGAAAGAGCTCTGGAGATTGGTTGCACCACAATGTGAATATACTTAACACTACTGAACTGCACACTTAAAAAATCAATTCAGATTGTAAAATCTAAGTTATAGTAATTTTACAATTAAAAATTGAAAAATAATTTTTAAAATGGAGGATGCTTATTACCTGGAAAGAAGTTCTGCATAGTGGTACACAAAAAGATGGCGTATAATATCAACAAGTATACAACAATCAGGCAGTGTGAACATATGTTGTGTGGCAGGTGGGGGCAGGGAGTTGTAGATATTTTTGAGTCAAAGGACTAGATGGAGGTGAGCCAAAAGTACTTCAGTGCCTATTTCTTGTGTTCGCCACTCCCCGTATAAAAACAAAATAAAACACGAAGAAAATTCTTTCCCTCCTTACACATTTTTCCTGTCACCTTTCACTTCACAGACTATCCAAATCATTGCTATCCAGTATGGGTAACAGACCAACAGTATCAGCATCACCTAGAGCTTATTAGCAATTCAGAGTCTCAGATCCCACCCCAGACCTCCTGAATTAGAGTTTAACAAGGACCCAGGTGATGCCTACGCACCACTGCCGCATACTGCTCTAACAGCTCCTGGTTTCCTTACACCTGCATAGCACTTACTGTGGGTATGTATGTGACAGGCAAACATAGTCACATGCTGCTAGCAAAGAAATGAAAGCATCTGCAAGAAAACAAAACCAGCTATTTTTAGAGCTTTGACTCAAAGGATGTAAAATCAAAGGATGAAGTGAGCATTCCATATCTGAATTGCAACTGCAGTTCTGTTGGCTGAGAATCTGTTGGCAAACCACTTTATTTCACTAGAATTCTGCTTCTTCATTTATAAAATAGAGATGATAATCTCTGCGAGATCTATACCGGGGGTTGACATGAAGGTTCGGTGTGAGAAGAGGATATAAAAACACTCTGAAAGTATGAGATGCTCTCAGAAGTAGAAAAAATATTAAATAATGTTTGGGTGTGTATAAATGCTCATGTAAAAAAACCTTAAACCAATGTGAATAGATTTCATTGAAGTTATGGGCATACGTGTATAGCTATTCTCTATATAGGATGTGTATGTATACATATATACTATATGCACATATATATGTGTATGTATGTGTGTTTATTCTCTTAAGTGTAGACTAGAAACGAATGACTCTTATCAGTTAAGTTTCTGAAGTACAATATCTTATGTAAGTTCTTGTAAAAGCAGGAAACTGGTGCCCAAATCCTCTGTGAAATGAAGCAGGTAGAGAGCAATCTATCTGCATTTATTAAACAATGTCACAAAAAACATGGATAACATTGAGAGCCCAGAAGGCACCTGATTTCTAGGACACTGTCGAGGGAAGAACCTCCCTTTATGCTCTACCACTCTCCCGAGTGACAAGAAGAGAAAAGTAAATGCTGGCTCTCGGTGGAGAGAAACATATCATTTATTGGTTGAGAGTGCACACACAGCCTTTGAAGTCAAGGAGACCCAGAAGCAAAGCCTGATTCCTCTTCAGCTGTGTGACCTTGGCCAAGTTACCACCCAGCTGCATTCTGTGAAATGAGGGCGATAAAATACTGACCTTACTATGAGAGTTAACTGACACAATATGTTAGATGGTTCGTATGATGCCAATATATAATAAACCCCTATTATGTGTTAGCTATTATTATTATCATGATCATGCACTTGAAAGAATGTGGTTTGTATGTCAACCCCTTTTATTCAAAGGGTACAGTTGGGGGAAAGGAGCATATTGAAAGAAATTCTGCACACACAAAAACTCCTGGTGAAGGTGAGTGAGGATGAGAAAACAGCCAGCACAGAGCAGAGAGTAAGGTTCAATGTTAAATTGTCACCATACTGTCAACTTGCCTCTTGACAAGCATATGGACTTAACACAAAGGCTTACAACACTGTCAAGAGAGGGCGACAGATAAGGGTAGTCTTTTCCACATTCCCCAAGGGATCTGATAGTCAAAGCAAGGCTGTACCTTCCCTGTCTTCTTGAATTGTTTCCGCTCTTCCACTGTGGTGAGGTAGTTCACAGCTGCGTACTCAATGACTGACAGGAACACGAAGAAGGAGCTGACCCACAGGTACACATCCACAGCCTTGAGGTAGGACACCTGGGGCATGGAGGCGCTCACGGCCGTGATGATCGTGGACATGGTCAGCACTGTGGTGATTCCTGCCATTGGAGAATAGTGGCAAGCTCAGTGATATAGACATTCATTTCCAGGATCTGGTGCTGAATCACACCAGGGGATGCATTTCTAGAACAATATCAACCTGGTGATCCAAGAGGAGGGAAGGTGTGTGCATGTTGACCAAGTACATATCTTGAGCCTAAACAAACACTCTTATTGGATTTTTCTTTCTGTCTCTTTTTCTTGCCCTCACCCTATTGTCCAGAAGGTTTGCTTTACTCCATTTAAGCCTTCACAGAAACCAGAGTCTGACATTTCTGTTTTCCACCCTCAGAGGGGCCTCTTCTAAGCAGGCCAGAAAGGTAAACATGTATTCAATTAAAAAAAATTCTAAAATCATTTCCTCTAACCTTTCCCATTCTTTCACAATTTTTACTGTTCATAACCTGTCTTTATGTCTACCTTTAATATTTCATGCTTCCCTTTCCTTCTATTCCCTTTTCCCTTTCTGCTACTTTCCCTCTTCCCTTTCCTTTTTTCCCCTATTCCTTTTATTTCTTTGTTCTCTGGCATGATCATCAGAGGTAAGAAGATCAAGGTTCTGGGGAAAATGGAGAAAGAAGTGACTCTGAGATTTCCTTAATAAAATGCTGGCCATGGGGAGGGCCATTCAATATCTACACTAATTTCTCAGAGGGATATTGTGAGAGTACCGCCTGGAGAGAAAGCATACTATTGTAAATATTTGAAATGTACACTGGCTGGCATGGTTTTATTTCTTAATTTCCCACCAGGGAGGTGCAAATGGAATCCTTAATGATTTTTATAAGTTGTGAGGACATTGTAATGTCAACAGACAGAGTCCCAAACAGCAGGAAAAGCACTGTGATTTACTCCTAAATGTACAGCCACAGCATGTGGACTGCTTTCACCAACACCTTTCTATCTTTTCTGTAATAATTCTGTTAGGCTCTCATCTGAGACAGTCCCATATCAAACACAGTGACAATTCTATGGAGCCATTCTATTTCAAATACGGATTTTAGTTTGTATGATCAAGATCAACACAACTTGGCAATTTGACAGTACCACGGGAGGACTTGGAATCTCACCTTCACACTAATTTGAACTCCAGAATAAGAAACCTAAATGCTATTGCAGCTCTTAACATTGCACACAGGCCACTGTCTCATCAAGTCCCAGGTTTCCCCCAACAATGGTATTATCAACAATCTGCATATCAGAGGGTTCTGTCTGTATTCCCTGGCTCTGAAACATACTGGCATAAACATGAAGCAAAGAATGAACATGAAGCATGGAATTTTATTAAGCATGGAATTTTTATTAACATTACAGGTATAGCTGAAGCCAAGATTATTAAATAAAACCTGCTTACTTTTATCAAATATTTGCCTACCACACATCTAGGTATATAATTAGCCACACATAGCGGAAATGAAATAGGAGCCGAGAGTGCCTAAGGGATTACCCCATATTTTGTCAGAGCAGAATGCAAATTCTGTTCAGAGTGCAGAATTATGCCAAGAGGCACAAAGAAGGCACTGTGCCTTTACTGTGCCATACTGACATTTTCAGTATGCCAGTGTCTTACTCTCTTCAACATTTCACTGGTAGGAAGTGAAGGAATCATGAACTAATATTCCCACTTAGGTGCTAACCTCATTAGTTCAAACTTTTTGTTTGTTTGTTTGTTTTGTTTTTTGAGATGGAGTTTTGCTCTTGTCCCCCAGGCTGGCATGCAGTGGCACAATCTCGGCTCACCACAACCTCTGTCTCCTGGGTTCAAGTGATTCTCCTGCCTCAGCCTCCTGAGTAGCTGGGATTACAGGCATGCACCACCACCCTGGCTTATTTTGTATTTTTAGTAGAAAGGGGGTTTCTCCATGTTGATTAGGCTGGTCTCAAACTCAAACCTCAGGTGATCTGCCCGCTTTGGCCTCCCAAAGTGCTGGGATTACAGGCGTCAGCCACCGTGCCCAGCTAAAAAATTTTTAATGTCTTCTTTTATTGGTTTTTTAAGATACAAATGATAGAACTTATTATTTTTTCAATGTGCAGTAATATGGAGCTTAGTGGACAAAATAAGGATTTTGAACAAACACACAAATGTGTATGCCTGATTGGTCTCATCATGTACTTGAAATTGATAACTACTGGGCAAATAAAAAGGAATTGCACTATCTATATTTGCCAGAAAGCAATAAACTATTAATCATTTTCTTTAAAGGGTGCTTAATCCAACTAATTTACAATAGCCTTATTTAGTTTAAAACCAGCATTCTAGATTTTCCTTCTTTAAGATGAATAAAAAAAAAAAAAAAGAATTAGAGTGGAGAGGAGGGATTGTTGGGTAGGAGGATTGAATGATGAGCAGACTGAGATGTAAATTCCTAAAGCAATAGAACCTGAAGTCAGGAGTATTATAGCCACATTAAATACACTTATTATGTCTTGAGCCACCCCTCAAAAACACATTAATCTTGACAAATAGTATTCCTTCCAAACCCATTAAAGTTAACATCCCAATAAAGGAGTTTTGAATTATACGAAGTGACCATTTAGTCAAAGGAAGGTCATGTGTTTGGATTAGAAAATCATCTTCCCCGCTACTGATGTTGCTACACGTAGTTAGGAAAGTGTTATGAGAAAATGTTTAGTCTGACCCTTTGACTCAGTTCCCCTGGGCTCTTGCAGCCTCACCCTATCAACTTTTAAAGACATGCATGGGGTCTTAACAACCCTTTCATCTGGGGAGAATCATGAATCTGTCAGTTTCATTGGCTATTTTTAGCCATGCATGGTGGAGAGTTTTGTTGAGGGGTGTGATAGCAGTAGGGCAGACAGGTATCACTTATGAAACCCCTGAGTTTGTTCACCCCCTCACTAACTGTGTTGTAGGTAGTTGTTTTGAAGGGAGGGGGGTGTTTATATTCACCTTCAAGTGAGTAAAAATATTTTTCATATAGGCCTAGGCAGAAAGAAAATATTACATGATATGAAGGAAAGGAAGGGGGCTTGACATTCCAACATTGCTCTATGACCAGAAACTGACAGCCATTTTCTCAGGAAGGTGGTACAAGAGTACAGATAACTGTCATTAGAAATTCTCATAATCTCTGTGATGGTTAAATGAACTGCTCTCTCTTATCCAGTTGCCTAAGTATTCACTTTTCCAAGCATATGGCATATCCTCTGTTAGGAGACGTTTTTTCTCTGAGAGTGACTACAGGCCTGAAAACTTTGGTAGTCTTCCTCTGCCATATCTGCTTTCCAGTAAAGGAGCCCGTTACTTAATGCACTCTATAGAGAATGGCATACCTCATGTAGAGGAATCAAGCAAGAATGATGGAGGCAAAGAAAGAAAGAGGGAAGTGGAAATGAGAGGAGAAAGTAAAATATTTAAACATCCTTGAACAACCTTATAATTGTCTCACACTCTCTCCACACAAAATTGAACGGAGAGACATAATCGTATTTTTGACCTATCACACATTCCAAGTTATGTTAGCTATTATCTCTTACGAGAATTGCCTAATCACAGTGGATACTTCTATGCTACGCACCCTCTGTTGTTCTTTACCTGAAACATGGCAAATGTGGCAGGGCCTTCACCAGCAAATGAATCATCCTTTATCATTTCCAGTTAGCAACAAAAAATATGGTGGTCTAAACACTGGCAACTTAACAACTACGTACTGAACATGAACTATGTGCAGGAGGACACTGTGCTACTCACTGAAGCAACAACAACAACAACAAAATGGTAATAGTGATCCTAGTCCTTAAGGAGCTCACATTCTAATAGAGGCCAAAAGATAAGCCACTCCTGTTCCACAGCAAAACATGAAATAGAGGAAGTCAGCTACTTAGGAGATACAGAAAGTGCCATGTGTTCCAAGATGACAGAGACCATGTGTGCTTGGAGTCATCACTAAAGGCTTTCGGCCATGTTGAGATGGCAGGATTTTGACAGAGAAAGACAGGTGGGGAGGAGGAGCCAATCATAATGCCAAAGGACACAATTCCAGATTCCATAATCCCAAAAGTTGAAACCCCAAAAGATCAAAATCTCTAAAGTCTAAAATACTACAATTCACAATCTTGAAAGATCAAAATCCTGAAAATATTGTTCTAAAAATAATTTTGAAAAATTTAAAAGCTATTTATATTTTAAAAAGGTTATTTAAGAAACATAAAAAAAGACATAACACTTCATAAGCCACTTTACGCAGTGAAATAGGCAATAATAACACACGTATTTCTGTGAGCATAAACACTCAGGTACACTAACAACAGTTGCACAGGCAGGACAGTTATGAGCAGATGCACCATATTGATAAAGAAATAGGTCGAAAGGGAAACATATAAACGCATATCACTATAGTAGGTCATTGTGGGCACCCAGCTTTATAACTGTGGTCATCTGAAACACCGTGATGAACAACCTAAGTCTTCTGAGGATCGATCAAAAACCATGATGGTCACCATCACATATGCAGTCACCCAAAGAGCTGAGATCTCATGAAATTTTATCTTTCACAAATGCAGATGTACAAAAAGGACATGTCTCATTGACTGAGAAAGTTTTAACATTTTTACACACATGCACAATACTCATATGCAAAGTTAACTGATAAAGCACTTTCATGGAGCTAAATTTGCAAAAATGCATAATACAAATTACAACTCTCTAACAGTCTAACTTCTTTATATCTTTACTACTAGAAATGATGCAAAGATGAAATACAAAGTGTAGAAAATTACAATATAATTCTGACAATTTAAAATAGTAAAAAAAAAAAAAAAAAAACACACAAAACTTAAGAAAAACAGACCAAAAACTAAAAAGAAAATTTCATGTATGAAACAGTGTATTACAGCGATAGGTTATAGGCAATTGCATGAAGATAGTGCACAGTAACTGGCCTAACATGATGTAATTATCCTGTGATTGTGATTTTTGAGATTTTAGACTTGAGGGATTTAGACTTTAGGGATTTTGATCTTTCAGGATTTCAACATTCAGGATTATGGCATTTGGTATTGTGTTTTTTGAGATTATGATCCAAACCAGTATAATGAATTATGTAAACATTTAGAAGATCTGTGTAACTCAGTGAACCAATATTTTCCCAATGACCAATGCATCAGTGAAAAATCTATTCAAAGTGTAAGACAGACCAATGGATTGCAATCTAACAGAGTAGAAAATATTTGTTGACATAGTTTCAAATAGCACATTGCAATTAAACTTTAAGGAACTATCACTTGCTGAGTTTTGGTGTAATGTGAAGGGAGGCTACCCACAATTATGTGGAAAGACTATTAAAATAGCACTCCCTTTTCAAACTATGTATCTGATGAGGTCAGATTTCTTCCTATATTTCAACCAAAACCTATTGCAATAGACTGAATGAAGAAATAGAGATAAGAATCCAGTGCCCTCGATAAAGGCAGACATTAAATATTTGCAAAAATGTTTAAAAATGACACTCTTCTCACTAAATGTTTTTGTTTTAGAAAAAATAATTATGCTTCATACAATGTTACCATGTTAACTTGTAATGAGTTGATTATTCCTAGTTTTAAGTGAATTAATACATGTTTTCAAATTCTATTTTAACATCTAATACGGCTAATAATGATAGACATGACCCACAGCAACAAAAGCTCTCTAGGGTCCTCGTTAATTTTTAAGATTGTAAATGGGTCCTAAGGCCATAGTTTGAGAATCACTGCCAAAGATTAAGAAGGAAATTGAGGTTTCAGATATGAAAGGCTCAACAAACTGGGAGGCCCCCAACAGAATGAGGAAAGTGAAGAGAACAAGTGGCTTCCCTGCTAACTCATCAAAGTAAGTTATTATTAAGACACCAACAGCATAATGTGAATTAGTTTGAAGGTTCTTTTTTTCCAGGATGTAAGGCTTTGTCACAAAAAGCTAAATGGACTTGGGTAATGTATGGGAGAGTACCTAGAAAGGGAAAGGATAAGATTTAAAAGTGAGGTTGTTTATGCTTCATACTTTCACCTTCTTTCCTTACTATCATCCAGCTACAGTGCTGTCGGCACATCCTTCATCCCTGAGGTCTGGGTTCCCAAGGAAAGATGCGGTTCTAAACAGGATGAATACTTGTAGTACCTGAAGGTGAAATCCAGCATTCAACTGAAAGTAACCAAATGGAACATGCTTACCTAGGGATAGAAGTTGGAATAAAAAAGTTTGTTCCATTTGATAAGAGTCAAAAGTGAGCAGATCCTTGAGAGGGAGTTACTCATACTTAAGGAGTGGAAGAAAAAACAGGAAAGAGAAAAGGAAAGAAAAGTCTTTGGGAGGAGAAAAAACTCGACTACTGGAGGGTATTGAAAAGTAATGCATTGTGTGTGTGGTTGGTTTTATCCAACACTATGGGTCAGGCATCAAGCTAGACAGTTGACATGATTAAATTAATTAATTCTCCCATTTAATTCTCGTAGTGACCTTTAGGAGGCAGTATGAATAATTTCATTTTGCAGATGAGGAAGATGAGGCTGGAACTCTTGACCACTAAAGTTGGTCGTAGATTTGGAGAGGATGCCTAACAATGTCAAATGCCGTGGAGAAGGTGAAGGAAGGAGGCAGAAGAGAAAAGGTAAGTGGGACAGATGAATAGGTATTCATAGGGACCTTCCAGAGAATTGGGCAGCACAGCATTTGCAAAGAGCTAGGAAAGCGGAGAGCAAAGTATCTTTGAAAAAAAAACTGAGAGTGGTAAGAAGCAAAAGCCTGAGAGGGTAATAGTTTTATAGGAATAGTACTGTTCTCTTATTAAAATAATTTTTTTAAAAAGTGGGAGAGGTACACTTCTGATTTGCATGCATTTTACGTACATCTGCATAGCAATTTCCTAACCCTAAGGGATCAGATGTGGTTGCAAGAAGCAGAGACTTTCAAGGGTGTCTTAAAAGTGTTTTAGTGTTCTCAATTCACTCCACCCTTCCATGGAAGTAGCTCTTATTGCTGTCATTTTCACAGTATAAGAGCAGAGCAGTCAAGTTCAGAAATCTGATTGAAAATCATGTTCATAAACCTTTATAGACTGAGTTCTTTTCTCATTGTGTCTCGAGGGCTGGAAACGTGCCCTTAGTCTTGTATTTGGGTCTATGCTGCCACACTGCAGCACTGAGGTTAGGGCACATGCTCTGATGTGAAGAAACAGTTCAAATAATTTAATTATTTATTCAGATGGTATTTTTTCCTTGAAGATATCCCAGTCTCAAATACTTGTAGATTGAATCTTTTAATAGGGAAAGGAGGTGAGCAAATTGTTAATATTAATAATTTATGTCTTTCAAATGATCTTTTGAAGATGCATATAATTTGTGAACATTAACTTACAAACCACCCTTTCTGGAATGAATTGTGTGATAATTACAATAATTGTAACAATTATTATAATAGTAACAATCTTCTCTCTACATAGAGCACTACAAATGAAAGAACAAAATCAGATAAAAATGAGGGGGCTCTGCCCTGACCAGCAAAAAAGGCAAGTGGGATTATCTCTTGGGTTCTCATTAAGTAACATGTCATCTAACTGCTTAGCTTGGTATCTTCCACTTTCTAAGATCTCCATAATTGCTAAGTGGCTCTGAAATGGTTCCCATAAATCAGTGTGTGTGACAGAGGCATATAGCATGTTAGATGGTGTAGATAATCACCCCTGTGTAGTGACTTAATGAGGCTGGCAACGTCTCTCCACCTAAAATCTCTTGCCAACTAATATGCCACTGTACCTGAAATTCAACTGTGGTTGATTCTGATTTGGGCCTTTTAGTTACATCCTAATTTCTAATCAGTATTCATATTTTCAAATTCAAGCATCCCCTCCACATTCTTGTTAACCCACCATGGTAATTTATTATTAATACACTAACAGTATAGTGTGAATTAGTTTGAAGATTTTCCTTTCTGTGATATAAGGGTTTGTCAGGAAAAGTTAAATGGACTTGTGTAATGCATGGGGAGGTTTCCTTAAAAAAGAAAAGAGATAAGCTTTAAAAGTGAAGCTGTTTATGCTTCATAATTTCACCTCCTTTCTTTTGTCACCCAACTGCAGGTCAGTCAGCAGACTTCATCCCTAAAATCTGGGTTCCCAAGGAAAGAACTCAATTACAATTTGCCCTTGAGGATGTCAAGACCAAAACTGCAACCTGGATGTTCATCTCTGACTATCCCTACTAAACCACCACTCTCTTTTCCTCTCCATGTATGACCCATTTTATTTACCTCCCTTGAACTTTCTCCCATGTTAGTATTTTATAAAGATGGGGAAAGATTTACCCAGGGAAACTCTTGCAGGAACAGCTCTTCGGTCAATCCAAAATGAAACCCATGAAAGCATCACCATCAATATGGCTGGGAAATAGGTTTGCAGCACAAAGAAGAAAATATGCCTCCTTAGCACAAAGTTGATGAAAAGCCTATTGTACCAACCTATGGAAAAAAGCCAAAGTTTTCATTAGAGCAAGCTTCCCCTTAGAAACACTGCACTTAGTGAAATGACCTGCTTCTTTAGACTCCAAGCCCTTGGGGACATGGAATTTGACATACTCGTCTCCATTTAGTTGGGCCTGGCACTCCATCAATGTTTGTTCAACCAGCTGAACTGCAGTCTGCTTAATTATTTGACTCAAAGATCCCCTTTAACTTCCAAACCCGCAGTTCAGGGATGAATAGTGGTTATATTTTGTGGGATGGCCTCTAAAGATCTTTCTCCACAATATATTGTGCTGTGGCGTTTCTGCAAGAGGGAAAGTCTTCAATACATGACTAATAATGGCATAAAAGAGCCAGCAAACCATTTATTAGCTATAACAAATGAAAAGAAACATTTATCTGAATGAAAAGATTCACACTAGATACTAGGTCATTGGATTTTGACCTGGGATGGAGACAGCTGGGGATTCAAAGGGGAAAGAAAACGAATCCATAAGCTAGTTTTATAATTTTAAAGTCTCATGAATACCATAATTTGTATATGACAAATCTGCCAAAAAGTAACCAACTGATGTTTCTTTGCTTCTTATTGAAATAATATAAACTCATGTTGGTAATATTGATTAATTGTGCTAATTAAAAGCACCATTTGTGGTCACATCTACACACACATTTTGTTCACGTTTACCTCTCCCATTGACTATAAGGAAGTTTAAAGCCAAATTTTCCGACATCTACCAGACTTCTCTGAGCACCATTCTTTAATGACCACGTACCAGGATATATATAATACCTTATCCTTGTTTTTCTTTTTTCCTCTCATACATTCTAATGTACATTACCTTGCTTTATTTCACAATAACTATGTGCCAATCTTGTTAAATCTTTACTAAAATAAAGCAATAAATGAGGAAACAAGAAAATACATCTTTTATGAATAAGTAGTAAGATTATGATTATTTTTACCGTGATAAATTCTGTTTATTTTCAGACAACACTATTCAAAATACAGGGACTATAGGTCAAAAGTTATAAAATAAAAATCATAGGTATTGCAGAGTTGGAAAACCCTTCTGCTAGTCTCAGTGGTAATTTCTTAGAAACCCAAGATGGCAAACCTATTAGATGGATCACTTAAGTACTTAGGCATTTGGCCTACGAAATACACCCGGCCAACCCACACTGAACTGGCAGACTCCACTCTGAGAATCCTAATCTCAATTCAATGTTCATTATCTTTTTCTTCCTTACCTAGTTCTAAGCTTCTAACAGTCAGTTGATACATGTTCAGGAATATCAAACAATTTCATTACCAGGAGTAATAAAAGATACATCGCATAGTACATTATAAAGTTAAAATATAAATTATTTTTTAAGTTTCTCATTGTTTTGTATCACATATATCACAGCCCCAATTTATTACTGTATACCACCGAGAGTTTCAGTGATGGCTGTAGAGTACAATAACAGCTATCTGAACTTACAACTTTATATAATTATCGTCAGGTTAAAAGAAATAAGGAAAACCTGTCAGAAATCCAAAAGAAAGACAGTATTAATGTATATGGTTTTCTGTTCATTATTAACTTGAAATAAAAGTAGTTAACTGCATCCTTCCTTTATTCATAGTTTTCTGGAGAACACCTTTTTTTTTTTTTCCTTTTGGTGGGGTGGGGGCAGGGTGGAGTAACCAGGAATTAAAACTGCTGCTCTGCCTTGTGGTTTTAGACTAGGGGTGGTATTTTAGTTGAACCTGCAGGTCATGGGGAGTCCATTTCCCTATCAGGAAAGGTGGTGCTGCCTTGGAACTTTGTGGCGCCTTCATTTTGGGTAGTACAATAAAGAGGAGTCTGATTCTATTTTTGATGTTTGACTGAGAAAAGCTCTCAAGCCCAACTTCTCCTTCTGCCCTACATCTGAGCAAGTTAATAAAAAAGACTAAGTCTCCCTTTTTTGGCACCTGTGAAAAGTTCAAACCATGCATCCTGTCCTACGACAGGCAGCCTTCACCCTAGCTGCACCCCCTAGCTACCATAAAAACGCAAGCCAGTAGCCCCTTCCTGTTCTCTCAAGCCATTTTTCATTTCAGACCTGCTTGGGAACCTGCCCACCTCTCTCGAGAAAGCCTCATTATGTGAGTAATAAATCACTTCATACCCTTTTGTCATATGTATGGCATCATCAGTTTTGGCATCTGAACTAAATTTTGGATGGGGACGGGTACATCTGCCTCCATCAGTTTGCCATACAGGAGAAAGAAGAGGAGTTAATAAAAGAGAGAAAATGACTAGAGAGTTGGCACCCAAGGAAATGGAGGACTGGGCCAGTATTTGGGGAGTCAGTCCCAAGACAAGAATAAAGAAGGTTTTTATACCTAGAGATAGTCACCTTCACTTTGAAAGTAGGCCTTAATACTCTCTATGAAAAGGATCAAGATAATGTAAATGAAAACAGGATGATGATAACAGCTACTAACTAATATTTATTGAGCCTCTATTATATGGCAGACAACATTCTAAGGTACTTAACTATATGACATCACGTATCCTCACAACCCTGTGATGTAGAGAGTATGTTGAAACCCAATTAAAGATGAGAAAGTTAAGGGTTAGAGAGATTAAGCAACTTGTCCAAGGTCACATTGCTAATAAATGATAGAGACAGGGTTTGAACTTAGGCAGTCTCTTTCTACTACTTACACATTTAGCCACTAGATTATGCTATGAAAAAAAAATTATTCAATGCATCCCTTAGGGGCAGGAGTCATTTCTTTTTTCTTTGTAAATTTATAGTGCATGATTTTGAGAAAGGGACCAGGAGGCAGAAGCCCTCACCTGCTTGTTAATATTGCTAGGTCATGGTGATTTTTGAACAGTGGCAATGGTAGTGGTGAAGGCCAAGGAAAAAAAACCAACACCCTGTTGTTCGGCTATAAAATGGAAACTAAGGTCCTATAACTACATTTCTGGCTCTTATAGCCAGAGTCAGATGTATAGTTTTTCCATAAAGTTGATTTGGGAGTGGTGGTTGTGGCTCGTAGTTGTAAGGATAGGAGTAAAGAAAATAAATCAAAAATTATTTTTGAGGAAGCTAAAATATTTAAACAGGAAACTAGACTGAAAAAGACACTTGAGTTTGACTGTCAGAAGATTATGTTTAACGATTCGTGGATAATGTGAGGCAGAGCTATCACATGCTCATGAACTAAAGTAAGTTTCTAAGTGTAATCTTTCCGAAACCTAAGGGATAGTTAAATGAACCCAGATATCATTATTAATTTAATATTTGAATACAACTTCCAAAATGCTTCCCTTCTGCATTTTTCCTACCATCTCTGTCATTTAAAAAGTGGGTATATTGTAACAAATTTAAAAATGCAAATGTTGAAAATCTCCCCAGTTAGTACCTACTTCTCGGATGTATCTATTAATCTTTTACACACACACACACACACACACACACACGATATGTATATATATGTATATAAACACTCATAAATATGGATAAACACATTCTTCAATAACAGATATGGGATTTTAAAAAATACATTCTTCTGTAACTTGCTTTTAAAAAATATTAATGCATTATGGATAACTCTCCATCTCATGTTACACAAAGCATGTACATTTGAACCTAATTCTATTTTTTTTTTTCATTTTTCTTAGGAACTGAAATGCTATTTCTTAAAAATGTAACTACATTTGAATGTCAGGGATGTGTGAGTTCATTTTAAAATGCAAGCATCTTTGGAAGCAGTAAGTTTTTCCATGCCAGTATTTTGCCCGGCTTTAGAGAGATTCTAAAACATGACCAGAAAAAGACAAAAATCAACTAGTGTTGGAGCTGCCTGGTAGGGCTCAAAAAGTCTGACAAGCACCAGTAAAATTATAGTAGAGCAAATGGAATGACTTAGTGGTAAAGTTAGAATTTTGAAGTGAAATTTAACTTCTTGTTAAGAGGATGGTTGGATATATTTTACTGGATAATTGTGCTTTAAAAGCTAAAGAAATGCCCTTGTTATTATTGTATATTTTGTATATGTTCTGTGCAGGAGACAATTCTTTTGCATTTCTACGCTTCATATATATCACATGATATTAGCATTAAACATTGCAAATATCTATTTACAATTTATCATGTGCCAAAGTTATTTTATCATAGCAATAGTAAAATACAAAAACATCCTATACATTATACTTCACATGTATCATGGTTCATTGCACACATTCTTTTATTTAAATATTAATTTAATTTAGGATTAAGAACATTAAGAATCCTGACAAATATATGCGTATATTTATTCATCTAGAGAAAGACAAAGTGAGAAAAGAAGGAGAAGGAGGAGCAGAAAAATATATCAAAATAATAATATAGTTTATCTCTATGAGGTACGATTACAAAGAGATTTTCCTTTACATTTTTCTGAGGTCTCTTCAAATTATCTAACATTTATTCATTCATTCAATAATTAGCCTTTGAGCATCAACTGTGAGCCAGGGATATATCAGTGATCAAAACAAATAAATATGTGTTACTTATATAACCAGAAAAGGCAATAAACATGATTAAAATTGATAGTATCATTTGCTGAATCCCAAGCAATGTAGACAAATAACGGAGTGAAATAGAGAATTTATTCTGGGTCTAAATAGCTAAATAGCTGTTGTTCCTAGAGAATCATTTAACTTCTCTGCAATGTAAACTTCTACTTCTCTCTTAAAGTTGCAGGTTTTTAGATAAAAACTTGATAACTATTCTCCAAGATCTAAGAACAGAGTGGAGAATCTTTGAGGAAAAAAGGCACCACCATCAAGGCAGAATAGATAAAAGCATTCTAGCCAGGACAGCTCTGAAACTCAGGGACAGCTGTTGGCACACTTTCTGGCTAGCCTGAGCATGGCTGCATTGAATCTGAAATGGCATTTTACATGGATTCGGCCTAAAATGACCCAGAATATTAATATCCAGCAGGGGAATGATAGTGGAGGGTGAGGAAGGTAGAGGGGAGCAGAATGAGGCTGCTTCCAACTTTAGTCAATGGGGATCACATATAACTTTAAAAGGTATCTTGGATAAAAGTTGTCAATTCAGAAATACATCTGTCATAGTAAAGAGTATTATATAGGCCCAATTTCAGATGGGTTTTCTGTTTGGGGCAATGATGCACTTTATGGATGGATTCATTCAACTGATTTTTATTGAGCATCTATCATGTGCCAAGCACATTCTAGGTACTGCAGAAGAAATGGTGAGCAAGGCAGACAGATTCCCTGCCCTTTTCCTGGCAAGACACTCACACAACAAAGCAGTCAAATAAATGTATAGTTCAGGTGATGGTAAGTGCTGTGATGACAGAGATAGGGAACGGTGAGAAGGGAAGCCTGTTTTACACAGGGTTGCTTTGGTTAGGAAAGCACTGTTTGAGAAACTATTGGAACAAAGTTCTGACTGAAGTGAGGGAGCTGGGCATGAGAATATTGGGGGAAAACATTCCAGGCAGAGGGAGAAGAACGCCAAGCAGAGGCCCTGCAGATGGAATGAGGTGAGCAAGCAAAAAGGCCAGTGTCGGGAGAGTAGCTGGTGGTGAGGGGCAGAGGGAGTAGGTGAGTCCCACATTAGGCAGGAGACTGATCACGTTGAGAAACTTCAATTTTGTTGTAAATGTGATGGAAAGACACTGGAAAGTTTAGAACAGGAAAGAATTGTGAACTTTATGTTCCAAAGAGATTACTCTGTCTGCTGTATTGAGACCGGAGAAGTCAAGAATGGAAGCAACGCATCTAGTTAGAGACGGTTGCATGAGTGGGAAAGAAATGATGTATGGAAAGGTGGAGGTTGCTCCCTGTAAAAGGAGAGGAATGATGGTCCTGACCAAAGGGGACACTTGCTTGGATTCTGGTCTTTTCACATGTTGTGGTGCTCTGCAAACAGTAGATGTCCAATAAATGCTGATGAATCACCCATGTGAAATGCTGTACCTGTGCTGCTATAGAAAGCTAATCCACTAGATGCACTGAAGTCTTCAATGAAGAACTGAGAAAGGGACATATGCTCTTCAGTATTTAAGGACTTGTTTCCGTGTTTCCAGTATAGCATTAGGTCATCCTCATTGTAGGCATCTAAAACATGAAAAATACCAGTCTTGTAAGTGGAATAAGCTCTTGTAAGTTCGATGAGTTCCATAACAATGTCTTATGTGACTCTGTATCCTTAGTGCCTAGTCCAATGACATGTACATATTAGGGGATACAAATATGTTTGCCAGTGGACTGATCATACACACACTTTTAGGAAGAGGAAAAATAATCTCTAAAAGTTAGACCCTGATGACTAGTATAATGTGGATCTTGTGCCCACACAATGAATTGAAACTCCCCAGATAGCTGCTCCCATATTTGTGTGCATTCTCTTAGAGCATTAAGCCAGGCCTCAGAGTGACACCGTAGCATCCCCTCACTGTCACAGGCCTGACTCCACGCCGTTAGTCCCCCTTTGTTTTTAGTTTCCTTGGATGAAATTCCAAAATGGGCTAATCTTACAAGAAATTTTCTAAAGTCAAACAGTGGTATGGAAAATTTCTAATGGATTTGGGGCGGAGCATCTGTGGAGTAGACATCTTCTGAGATTCCCAGCATTTCAGACACATTTTCAAAAATTGCAGTCAGCTTTTAAGATCTTCCATCAAAAATAGCTGATCAGTAAAAGTGATTGACAGCTCAGATGCCCTGCGATGGGGCTTTGATTAGGGGGTCTATGTCTCCAGTTAGATTTTTCTAGGGAATCCAAGTCTGCTTAATGGAGGATTGTGATTCATCTGGGAATGTGAATTCCAGGGCTTTCTAAATGTGGAAAGTCTGTGTCAGTCTATATAACAACATTAGCAAGAATAGACCTTTTTAGGGAGCTGTTCCTTTACTGTGGAAACTGTAGAATATGCAATTATCAAAATGCTTTTCCCCTGAAACTTCTCCTTTAAAAGACGAACTACCATCAACCTTCATTAAAAAAAAAAAAAAAACAGAAACAAACAAACAAACAAACAAAAACCCACAACTGTTTTGGTTTTGGATAAATATATCAATATTTTAAAATGCTTGTTAAGAGCATGCTTATTTACATGTAAGTATGTGATGATGTGTTCAAATGATGTGTACTCACTCCACCAGGAAGTGAGACTTACAGCTTTCCAGTTCAAGAGAACAATTTTGAGTGTCAAGAGGAAACCTGCTGAAATCCATAAAGCACATGGCCGAAACCGTTATCCTATAAAAAGAATGAGAAAAAGAAAACTACAGATCATTTAACCATCTGGCCAAATGAGCACGCGACATTGAAGCTTTCTTACTATTTGCCGGTTCTGTGTGTCTTTCTAGAATAATGCAAAACAGGCAGTATTATCTTCTGGCCAAATAACATTCAAGGAAGCAAACTCAGAAGGGTGGATGATTTTCTTAAGACACAGTCAATGAGTGAATTCAGCTCTCACACCTGCTTCTGAGTTCACCATTTCCTGATCAGCCCCCTCTGTGTTTTCTGGCTCTGATGTCTCTGGAAAAACACTCTTCAAAGTGAGAAGACTTTTAAACAGATTTAAATATTTTTTGCTTTTTGGAAGATGCACACATAAACAGTCTGTAGTAACAAAGGGTGGGAATGGTGGCAATAAAAACCTACAGTTAAAAGTTTCCTTCACAAAGCAAGTTTACCTGAGGATATTCTCTTTCCAGTAGTGAGTGAAAAGCCTGGAGCACTCTTAGTTATAGATCCATGTGCACAATGCATAATTCAGGTGGTATTAAGCCAAAAGGCTTGCATACTGATGAGAATTGTTTTTTCAAATGTTATATCCTCCTAGATTTTCCTGGCTTCAGGCAGAGGCTGCTTTACTATGACCTTGCCTCAGAGTAGAAACTTTGGTACCCACAATAGCAGATCAGAGGTTCATAAAAGGCCCCTGAGCAGGTTTGCAAAAAACAAAGGCAACAGATGCTCCTACCTGTGGTGCCCTTGAGTTAATCAGAGGAGTAGGGACATTTTATCTTCTGTGGGTTAATTCTACTGTCAATAGTCATACAACAAAACATCAAGCCAAGGATTACTTGCCACAAAACATATTTGTTTTGGTGTATTCCTAGTACTTTAAACCTAGAAGGGACCCTCTGAGGTATTTCAGTCCACTTCCTTCATAGTACATGTGAGTGACTTAATGACCAAGGAGGCTAGGTGGCTAGGTAGTGTCAGAACCAAGCCGGAACCAGGGGATCTGGCTCTGGGCTTGGATTGGCTCTACTGTTGACTGGAAGAGCTGTGCTGACAACAATTTTGAGTTCCTCCTGTGTTAGGGGATCTCCAAGACCACTCTCAGGGTCAGTGATTCACTAGAATGACTCGCAGAACCCAGCAAAGCTGTTGTCATCTTGGTTACCTATATTATAATGAAAGGACACAGATGAAAATTGACAGTAGAAAAGGGGCACAGGGCGGAGTCCAGGAGAGATCAGGAACATATTTCCAGTTGTCCTCTCCTAACGGAGTTGTGTGGTTGGTGCTTAATTCTCTCAGCAATGATATGTGACAACACCCTGGGGACATTACCAACTAAGGAAGCTCACCCAAGACTTGGTATCTATACTTTCAACTGAGAGTAGCCACATAGTCATGACTGACCACTCACATGACTGACCTTAGTCTCCAGCCCCTCCAGAGGTCAAGCTGATATCCAGGGGCTCAAAGCCTCCACTGTAAATCACATTGTTAGCAGAAACTATCTGGCTCAGCCCCCAGCCCCCAAGTAAACAAAGATACTCTTATCAGTTAGGATATTCCAAGGGGTTACTGGTTACCCTGCAAGAGCCTGGCAAGGGCCAAATATTTCCTGGAATGTGCAGGGTAAGAAAAATCCACTGAGTTAATTATTTACTGGACCTCCCTCCACCAAAATTAATTTAAAACAATTGATTCTTTGTCCAGATAGTGCCCTTCTGCTCCTGATTCCTACTGAGGCTTGACTCCAGTACGTATGAGTACTACGCTACTCCTGATTTAAAAGTCCTGTTGAGGCCAGGCACGATGGCTTACACCTGTAACCCCAGCGGTTTGGGAGGCCGAGGTAGGCAGATCATTTGAGGTCAGGAGTTCAAGACCAGCCTGGCAAACATGGTAAAACCCTGTCTCGACAAAAATTAGCTGGGCATGGTGGCGGGCACCTGTAATCCTAGATAGTCAGGAGGCTGAGGAAGGAGAATCACTTGAACCCAGAAGGCAGAAGCTGCAGTAAGCTGAGATTGTGCCACTGCACCCCAGCCTGGGTGACACAGTGAGGTCCTGCTCCTCCCCCCATTCCCACCAAAGAAAACCCATTGAAAGTGATATTTTCCTTTAATTGTATTTTTAAAAACATTGACAGAGCTTACAAAATGCCTGGCACCAGCTCTGTGCTGAAGTGGGTAAGGTATTTTTAATGAGCAAAAATAATCTGAGTTTCCTACTGCTGCTGTAATAAATTACTACAAATTTGGTGGTTTAATACAACAGAAATTTATTCTCTCACAGATTTGGAGGCCAGAACTCTGAAATCAGTATTATGGGGCTGAAATCAAAGGTCATAAAGGACTTTCTCTCTTAGCAGTTCTAGGGGGAAAATCCATGTGTCCTATAGCTTCTGGTGGTTGCCAACATTCCTTGGCTTATGATCACATTGCCTCCTCTTCTTTTGTATGCATGAAATTTTCTTCTACCTTTCTATTATAAGGATACTTATGATTCCATTTTAGTCCCAACCAGATAATCCAGATAATTTCTTCCCTATTTCAAGATCTTTAACTTAATCATGTCTGCAAGGATTCTTTTTTTTTTGGTCATACATGATAAGCTTCACAGGTTCCAAGAATTAGGACTTGGATATCTTTTGGGGTATCATTTGTTCACCCTACTTTAGAATTTTTCTAAGGTTTGTAGGACATTTAAAAAAGCTGAGTTGCTTGGGTTTACCAAACATTTTTAGAATTATCCATGATAAGCTACTCAATATGCACAGGACTCATTTGACTAAAGGAAAATATGGAACATTAAAAAGGAAGAGCTGTTATAGCAAAGTGTTGGAATGCACATTTTAAATTAAAAGAAAAGAAAAAGAAAGCAAATTGGTGTTAGCTTGAATGATAGCTATAGCTTCCCATGAAAAAATGAAGGGGACAATTAAGAAAAGTTATTTAGCTCATCCAAGGTTCCAAAACTGCTTGGTGGGGTGCAGAGGCGGGGTGGAGTTGGTGAAGAGGAAAACAGGCTTGTTTACCTATAACATTCTGTGTCAGATTTTAGGAGTTCCATAATTCAGCTCCACTCTATTTGTCTAACCAACATATACCCAGCCTGGGTATAGTTAGAATAGAAAATCATTTTTAAAAATCAGGACGTTAGAACCAGGGGAAAATCACATCTTATGCTTGTGCCCCAATCTCCAGCAGCATTAGACAGACAGCAACATTGTGAGTTTCATCTGAAATGAGCGCCATCAGCTTTGGTGCAGACAGCTGCAGTACAAGGAAGCCAAAGGCCACAGGCAGCTCTCCTTACCTGAGACTTAGGAGGACGTTTCCATCAGGGTGTACGCGCAGCATGATATTCTCCATAGTTGTATCATGGATGAAGGATCTTTTAGAGTGGACAAAAAAGATATCAGGCACCCAGATCTTTCTGATCAATCTATGATCAAATGTCATGCTTTTGTTTGCTGTGCTAGGAAAGGAGAGCCTCTCGTCTTTCCAGTAATGCCTGAGATAAAAAGTCATTGTAAAGTCCTAGACAGAGAGAAAAAGAGACCAATCAAAACCAGTAGGAATATGGTTCAGGATGACCACTCAACACTATTAGTCCCAGGACTCATTCCCATGGTGTTAATGACTTTTAAGTGAATGGCTAATATTGTAGTTTCAGGTTGAAGCTAAGAAGGTTGTGCTTTGAGCTCCTCCTTCACATGAAGTCTAGTGAATGTTGAGAATTTCTGGGAGTTATAATAGAATATTCAAGTTGGGGAAGGGGAACCAGGTTATAAATGGGAAGCATTTCTGTGTAAGCATTCTGGTAAATAACCTAAGAGATTTCAGAAGAAAGGAACCTGAAACTTTACTATTTTATTGTCCATTATTTTATTGCGATTTCCTTTTTCATTCTAAATAAATCACTTTTAAAGTTGATTTTGCATTGATACTCACATGATTTTTGTTAAAGAAGTTTTCCCAAATCGAATAAACTATAATCCCACAAAAACATGGATACAATGTTTATTAGAGCTATTCGTGTAAAGCAAGTTGTCAGAAGTCCTGGGACAGAGACAGGATTGTCCTCAGCTTGAGAGACAGAAAGCATATTGTGAAATGGTAGTTCTCAAAGTTTAGTGTGCAGAGATTAACTTCTGAAGTTTGTTGAAATGGCACATTTCCCAGAAGCTAGTTCCCAGAGATTCTGATTCAGTATGGCTCAGGGATTTGAACTGTTAATGTTTATTCTTACATTGTAAGAATGTATTGATGAGAGGAAAAAACTGTACTAGCATTATATTGGGAAAAACAGTTCATTTCATTAATAATTTGAGTTTTGTTTGGCTCTCAGATGTTCCAAATATTTGGTCGTTTGAATAGAAACTCCCCCAGCTTCATCCAAATTATTGGCTGTTGGACAACCACAATTTCTTACTTCTTACTATTTTGCAATTGCTTACTTCTTACTATTTCACAATTGCTTACTTCTGACTATTTCACAATTGCTTACTTCTTACTATCTTTTTTTTCCAATGATAATCAAATTTTTCTTGAACTAGTGCATATCATAGAACTTTGGCATTTATTATACAAACAAAGGATACATTTCAGTAAACTCTGAATGAGTCACCAATTAATTATGAGCTAGTTTGTCCTAGGTTCAGAATAGAGCTATCTTGATTTATGGCTCTGGATTAATCAAGGAACATTAGCCATGTGTAATTTTGAATTAGGGTGAGGGCAAATAAACCGAATGGTTCTTTCATTAACATAATACAAGGAATTGTGTGGGTTACTGCACAGAGTGCCTTAATAAGCATATATTTAGAATTAGATGCTCTGTCTGATCTGAAGGTCACTAGGCAAACATTGAGTTTATGCAGTCGAATAGCCGATGCTGGTGCATGTCTGTGATACAGCAAGTCACCACACGCTGGCGCTATCATCAGGAGCAGGCCAAAGAGCATTCTGGGAGGAGGGTGAGACAAAACTTAAATGGATAGAAAGTGAAGTTAGGGTGGACAAGAGAGTAGAAAGATGATAAATGAGAAGCAAAAACAAATAGACAAAGCAACAAAGACAAAAAAACACTAGTGGGAGAGGGCGAATCACTGACAATTAGAAAGCATTTTCAAAAGGGGCATGTGAACCCAGTCCAGTTTGATCTGATAAGGACTAGCACAGCTAACCTTATTCAGGGAGTAAAGATGATGTCCAGTTCTGGGTGCTGCTGGTTAGAAACAATAAGGATTTTAGATGCAAACTGCGTCATTCAGAAATGACTTGGATAGGCCGGACGCGGTGGCTCAAGCCTGTAATCCCAGCACTTTGGGAGGCCGAGTCGGGCAGATCACAAGGTCAGGAGATCGAGACCATCCTGGCTAACACGGTGAAACCCCGTCTCTACTAAAAAAATACAAAAAACTAGCCGGGCGAGGTGTCGGGCGCCTGTAGTTTCGGCTACTCGTGAGGCTGAGGCAGGAAAATGGCATAAACCCGGGAGGCGGAGCTTGCAGTGAGCTGAGATCCGGCCACTGCACTCCAGCCTGAGCGACAGAGCAAGACTCCGTCTCAAAAAAAAAAAAGAAATGACTTGGATAATATGCCAGGAGAGGGGAAATAAAAGGTTGATCTCAGAGCACAACAGGCTTGAGGAAATATCAGTAAAAGAGCTGCCTTTGGGTAGGAAAACGACAAAATCTTCTAAACCAATCTTTTTTGAGTAGCGAGTCCTCTTAGTGCTGTTCCCGTTTGGAGGGGAATGGCAATTGAATCTTTAAGACTTACACTGAACTGAAATAAATATTGAATTAGATAATGATAAAGACGAGGCAGACCATTAGCTGAAGAGTTACAGACTGAAACCAGGTGTAATGGGTCATAGAAGATTTTGTTCAGACCTTTCTAGAATTTTTATGTGTCCTGAACTTTTCTTTTAGTGATTTGGAGGAATCACTACAAATAAAATATGAATTAAGGATACAGATGAAAAGATTATTTGATTTTAGTGATTGATATTTTCTAGGTCCCTCCCTTAACAGCTGTTTGTTCACTTTCTGTCTCTTTTTATCTTTAATTGTGGTATTTGCATTATTACAAAAATGATACATAGACTCTAAATTTTAAAATTTAACACTCTGAAAATCACTATATATGCTAGAGTTTATGTATCAACAATACTTATTCTAAAGCATGTATAAAAACAACTTTTGAAAGCTTTATAAGAACGCACATGTAAAATACTCCAGAAAATGGAATGAAATTCAAGGATTCATGTACATAAAAATGGCCATCAAATTAGTAGATTGGATAAATGACAAACTAAATATTTTCAGATGGAAAATGGAGTTTGAAAGAAAATAACTTTTCCCAATTCATGGAAGAGGTACTCTTTGGTTTGGTTTTATTAAAAAAACAAACAGAAAACCAGACTGCCATGTTTAAAGTAGGAAACAAAGGACAATAAGCATCTGGATAAGAGCTGTGATCTCAAATGACTTCAAGGACCAGGTGGGCAACTTTAATGAAAGAAGCAGCCTGACTCTAGAGCAAAGCAAGGCACGGGCTCCAGGACAAACTGGAGGGCACAGGCCCCATCTGAAGGCATTCAAACTTCTTTTTTTTTCTTTTTGAGACAGAGTCTCACTCTGTCACCCAGGATTAAGTGCAGTGGTGCAATCTTGGTTCACTACAACCTCCACCTCCCACGTTCAAGTTATTTTCCTGCCTCAACCTACTGAATAGCTGGGACTACAGGCATGTGCCACCACACCCGGCTATTTTTTTTTTTTTGTATTTTCAGTAGAAACAGGGTTTCACCATGTTGGCCATGCTGATCTCAAACTCCTGACCTCAAATGATCTGCCCACCTGGCCTCCCAAAGTGCTGGGATTATAGGCATGAGCCACGGCTCCTGGCCTAAACATTAAATTGTTTAGTACTTTGGGTAGAATGGAGAAAAAAACTAAAATTCAAACCAAACCAAACCGAAACACATTCATAAGCTGCATCTTATTAGTAGGTACCAGTTAGGGCCTTTGTCATTAACACTTGAAGGTGGTGTAGTATTGACAGAAAATGAAAGATCCATCTAAAGAGGATGATGAAAAAGACAGCAACTGAGGAGAAAGAAATGAGATGGGAAAAGCAGTTTAAATATAAAGACACGTGGCCATTAGGTGAGATCACGTGATAGAGTTTGGATGTTTGTTCCCTCCAAATATTGTGTTGAAATGTGATCCCCAGTGTTGGAGGTGGGGCTTGATGGGAGGTGTATTAGTCCATTTTCACACTGCTATAAAGAACTACCTGAGACTGGGTAATTTATAAAGAAAAGAGGTTTAATTGGCTCACAGTTCTGTATGGCTGGGGAGGCCTCAGGAAACTTACAATCGTGGCAGAAGACAAGGGGGGAAGAAAGCATCTTCTTCACAAGGTAGCAGAAGAGAGAGAGAGCATGTGCAGGGGAAACTGCCACTTTCAAACCATTAGGTCTCACGAGAACTCTCTCACTATCACAAGAACAGCATGGGGGAAACCGCCCCCATGATCCAATCACCTCCGTGAGGTCCGTCTCTCAACATGTTAAGATGAGATTTGGGCGGGGACACAGAGCCAAACCATACCAGGAGGTATTTAGGTCCTGGAGGCAGATCTTTCAGGAATAGCTTGGAGCCATCTTGTTAGTAATGAATGAGTTCTCAATTATTTCCCATGACAGTCTTCTCCCTTCCTCATCCCTGCTACCCGGAGCTGGTTGTTGAAAGACCCTAGTACCTCCCCTGAGCCCCCATTCCTCCTTCTCATGCCACGTGATGCCTGCTGCCCTTCACCTTCCACCATGAGTGGAAGTTTCCTGAGGCCCTCACCAGGAGCAGATGGCAGTGTCATGCTTCTTGTATGGCCTGCAGAACCATGAGCCAAACAAACCTCTTCTCTTTATAAACTGCCCAGCCTCAGGTATTCCTTTATTGTAACACAAACAGACTAAGACAGCAAGGAAACAGCCATTGAAAATTTGAAGCTATAAAGGCACTCTTTCTTTGGGATAGAAAAACAAACTAAAGAGCGCTCAACCAAACTCTGAAACTACATTAACAAATTAACAGAACTCCTCCCTAACTCATTTTATGAGGCCAACATCATCCTGATACCAAAGCCTGGCAGAGACACAACAAAAAAAGAGAATTTTAGACCAATATCCCTGCTCATAGACACAACAAAAAGAGAATTTTAGACCAATATCCTCATGAACATCGATGCAAAATCCTCAATAAATATTGGCAACCGATCCAGCAGCACATCAAAAAGCTTATCCACCATGATCAAGTGGGCTTCATCCCTGGGATGTAAGGTATTGGTTCAATATACGCAAATCAATAAACATAATCCAGCATATAAACAGAACCAAAGACAAAAACCACACGATTATCTCAATAGATGCAGAAAAGGCCTTTGACAAAATTCAACAGCCCTTCATGCTAAAAACGCTCAATAAATTCGGTATTGATGGAATGTATCTCAAAATAATAAGAGCTATTTATGACAAACCCATAGCCAATATCATACTGAATGGGAAAACTGAAAATTCTGAAATCAATAAGACAGGATGCCCTTCCTTCACCACTCCTATTCAACATAGTTTTGTTCTGGCTAGGCAATCAGGCAAGAGAAAGAAATCATGATTCAGATAGGAAAAGAGGAAGTCGAATTGTCCCTGTTTGCAGATGTGACATGATTGTACATTAGAAAACTCATTGTCTCAGCCCAAATCTCCTAAGCTGATAAGAAACTTCAGCAAATCTCAGGATACAAAATTAATGTGCAAAAATCACAAGCATTCTTATACACCGTAACAGACAAACAGAGAGCCAAATCATGAATGAACTTCCATTCACAATTGCTTCAAAGAGAATGAAATATCTAGGAATCCAATTTAAAGGATGTAAAGGACTCTTCGAGGATAATTACAAATCACTGCTCAGTGAAATAAAAGAGGACACAAACAAATGGAAGAACATACCATGCTCATGGATAGGAAGAATCAATATTATGAAAATGGCCATACTGCCCAAAGTAATTTATAGATTCAATGCCATCCCCATCGTTACCAATGACTTTCACAGAATTGAAAAACTGCTTTAAAGTTCATATGGAACCAAAAAAGAACCTGCATTGCCAAGACAACTCTAAGTCAAAAAAGAACAAAGCTGAGGCATCACTATCTGACTTCCAAACCATACTACAAGGCTACATTAACTAAAACAGCATGGTACTGGTACCAAACAGAGATATAGACTAATGGAACAGAACAGAGTCCTCAGAAATAACACTTATTACATCTACAACCATCTGATCTCTGACAACCTGACAAAACAAGAAATGGGGAAAAGATTCCTTATTTTAATAAATAAAAGGGGAAAATTGGCTAATAAAAGAAAGCTGAAACTGGATCCTTTCCTTACCTCCTTATATGAAATTAATTCAAGATGGATTAGACTTAAATGTTAGATCTACACTACAAAAACCCCAGAAGAAAAACCTAGGTAATACCATTCAGATATAGGCATGGGCAAGGACTTCAAGTGTCTAAAACACCAAAAGCAACAGCAACAAAAGCCAAAATTGACAAATAGGATCTAATGAAACTAAAGAGCTTCTGCACAGCAGAAGAAACTACCATCAGAGTGAAAAGGCAACCTTCAGAATGGGAGAAAATTTTTGCAATTCACTATCCAAGACAAAGGCTAATACCTGGTGAACACAAAGAACTTAGACAAATTTACAAGAAAAACAAACAACCCCATCAAAAGTGGGCAAAGGATATGAACAGACAGTTCTAAAAAGAAGACATTCATACAGCCAACAGACACATGAAAAATGCTCACTATCTGGCCATCAGAGAAATACAAATCAAAACCACAATGAGATACCATCTCACACCAGTTAGAATGCAGCAATCATTCAAAAAGTCAGAAACAACAGGTGCTGGAGAGGATGTGAGAAATAGGAACACTTTTACACTGTTGGTGGGATTGTAAACTAGTTCAACTATTATGGAAAACAGTATGGCGATTCCTCAAGGATCTAGAACTAGAAGTACCATATGACTCCAGCCATATCCCATTACTGGGTATATACCCAAAGGATTACAAATCATGCTGCTATAAAGACATACGCACACGTATGTTTATTGCAGCACTATTCACAATAGCAAAGACTTGAACTGCAACTCCAAATGTCCATCAGTGACAGACTGATTAAGAAAATGTGGCACATACACCCTGGAATACCATGCAGCCATAAAAGGATGAGTTTGTGTCCTTTGTAGGACATGGATGTAGCTGGAAACCACTACCTTCTCAGCAAAACTATTGCAAGAACAGAAAACCAAACACCGCATGTTCTCACTCATAGGTGGAACTGAACAAATTCAGATCACTGGGACTCGGGAAGGGGAACATCATACACCGGGGCCTATCATGGGGAAGTGGGGAGGGATTGCATTGAGTTATACCTGATGTAATGACGAGTTGTGATGGGTGCTGACGGTGCTGATGGGTGCAGCACACTGTGTTACGGCACAAGTATACATATGTAACAAACCTGCACGCAGGCACATGGTACTTCTAGAACTTAGAAGTATAATAAAAAAACACAATAATACACAAATTAACAGAACAAGAGTGGGTAAAAAGGAAATATATCTGAAAACAAATATGTAGGTGCTTATATGTATAAATCAGTAATGGTATTAACTATTCTTTCTTAGAACAAAAACAACTTGAAAACCTAAAATCACTTAAATAAATAAATGTCTCTGGTAATTATGTAAACAAGGAAGGTGATCCTAAATTGGGAACAAAGAAAAGCAAAATGGAAAAATTATGGTTGATATTAAAACATAAAAATAGCTAAAGTGGTTAAGGGACGGGAAGAAGAAACAAAAAAGCAAGGCATGCAAAATGTCGTAAAAGACAGAAAAAGGCTAACAGGAAGGTTGAAGATAAGGGCTAGTTTTAAGTTTAATGGATATTTCATAGAGTGAATAATACTTCAGGAAAATACAGATGCTTCACTGCAAAATTAAATAATGGCAGTCTTTGTAGATTCTCAGAAAAATATAAGGGAATAGATAAAATTTTAATTAAATTTTTAGTCCCATGAATTTTAAAAAGTATTTGTCCTCTGCTACTGGTTGTCTACAGGTAAGCTAAATTGTCATCATTTACATTTGAAAGCAGTCCATCAATGCTGTCTAACCGTTATTATTTTGTAGGCAAAGACTCATGATTTGGATTCATTGCACATATAGTACGGTCATCCTCTTATGTTTATATACAATTGTTCCCAGTTCTTGCTACCTAGGTAAACATATCATGATGTTCTACAGTGTTTCACCACTAGAAAACCATTAGAAGGAAAATAGAAAAGCAGGAAAGGAAATGAGAATTGTAATCAACGATATAGAATGAAGTAGATAGAAGAGCAGAGCAATCATGACCCTAATATTAAGCAAAAGTAGGAGACATAACAACATACATAGCTAAAAACACCTATTAAACACTATGATTTTGACACGGCCGAGTTTGTCTTTTCAGAAAAAGAACAATATCCATGAAGAAACTTTACCATGTTGTCTCTGAAATGCTGTCACGTTTTCAACATGGACGCCTATACCTACTGGCACTGGGGACCCTTCAGAAAGAAGAATTGCAAATGCTGAGAAATGCATTACAATCATTTTAAACCATTCAAAACAGAGAGATTAAGGCTTGACAACAACTGAACTACTTTTAAAGTTTTTAAATAAACAAATTCTCTTCCATTATTTATTGAATAGTTATTATACACCCAATTATTATAATAAAGGCACATGCGTAAATAAATGGTATTCCAAAAATCATTACTCATTTGCTTGAGATCATGTCAATATTTGCCTTCTATAGTATAAAGTTTTTTTTTGTTTTTTAATTTTATTCTTTTACCTTACTAGTGATTTTAAAAGGAAAACTGTTTTCAAAACATGTCTTAAGAGTATGTAGAATTATGTAGTCTATATGATGATAATGAATATATCTCATAGTCAGGAGTGGCATAGAATCCCTGACATGGCATGTTGGAACCTTCTCTGCTGTCAAAAGTATCAGCCTTTTCCATTTGTATGTGGTTGAGTAGAGGAACACAGAGGAAATTTCATAGAGATTGAAAGTACAGTGCCACACAGGACACCAGGATCAGATTCAGGTCCCTTTGCAGGTCAGCAACAACCACAGGCTGCATTTGGGAAGAAGCAAATATCCTTAGAAATCCATTTAATGAGATAATACTGAGAGTCAGAATTACAATTTCAGACAGCACTGCTGACACTTAAGACAGTTGAGTTGCTCAGAATCAGTTCATGGGCCCAGAAAACCTGAATGACAACCCAAGAGAATCCAGACTAGATCATATTTCCTAGTTACACTCTTAACAAATGATTTCACTACTTCCAGTGAGGTGAAATTGGATGTTAATAACACCAACATTTAGTTTTGTGATGGAAATGTTATGTATATATGTGTTAAAATAATTTATATATTTATATATGTAGTCTTTCATATGTTCTCTTCCACAAGCCATTCTCACTAAACTCCTATTGTCTATGTAGTCCTGAGAGTTTCAAAAATGCTTTCTACTTATGGTTGAGAACATATAAATCCTACCAAATGGATCCAAGATGGTTGTATTAATCAAGATTCAAAGATTTAGCTGTAGTAATGGTGGCTCCCGCCTGTTATCCCAGCACTTTGGCAGGCCGAGGTGGGCAGATGTCGCTGAGGTCAGGAAGCCTGAGACCAGCTGATTAACATGGTGAAACCATCTCTACTAAATACAAAAATTAGCCCGTGTGGTGGTGTGTGCCTGTAATCCCAGCTACTCGGAGGCTGAGGCACCTAGAATTGCGCCGATAATACAGGAGGCAGAGGCTGCAGTGAGTCGATGGCGCCTACTCGCACTCCAGTCTGGGTGACAGAGCTTGTGGATCTTCTTAAAAGAATAAAATAAAAAGAAAAAGAAAGGAAAACAAAAGAAAAGAAGATAAAAGAAACAAAGAAAGATTTAGAGGAGTCAAGCCTGAAAAGCTTCCTTCATGAGGCTGAGGCTACTGAAGGCCTGGATGTGCTACTTGAACAGGCATGCCCATAATTCGACAGCCCTTTACATGCATAACACTATAGAAACCTGCTGGCATGTCTCTGTCAGTCCCCATCTTTCTGTGACTCTTCCAGGAATTAACTGGATGTCACTTTCACTTTAGACACAAATTTTTGATCCCTAAGTCCTGCGGCCCTCGTATCATTTTTTTTATTTTGAAGGTTTTCAGTTGGCCAGGCACAGGGATGGCATGCAAATACATTCCTGCTTCAGGCTTCTGGAATACCTCAGTTGCATCTTAACTTCCATCTTCTTCCTGATATGTTGGATCAATTACTATATCCTACAACATTAATTATGACGATTTTTTTTTTTTTTTTGAGACAGAGTTTCACTCTGTCGCCCAGGCTGGAGTGCAGTGGCGAGATTCTAGCTGACTGCAACCTCTGCTCCTGGTTCAAGCGAGCCTCGTGCTTCAGCCTCCCAAGTAGCCAGGATTGAAGGACAGTGCCACCACACCCAGCTAATTTTGTATTTTAGAAGAGATGGGGTTTCACCACGTTGCCCAGGCTGGTCTCAAAATGCCTGACCAGGTGATCTGCCTGCCTTGGCCTCCCAAAGTGCTGGGATTACAGGCGCAATCTGCACCTGGCCAAATTATGACAATTCTTGCTGGTGTTTAATGGTAATTTTGATTAAGCATTAACTTGGGAACATCTCATTATTATTCCTTCATAGGGTTCTGCTCTGGTGCTTTTTTATGTGTATGTACCTTTTTTCTTGAATTAGTAGAGAAAATCTCTTCGCCATTGCTCCACCTGGTATTTCAGATTGACTAAATCTTCCCAATAATTCCAAAACTCCAAGGGAAGAAAAAATTTGGAAAGGTCTTGGAGGAGTGGCAGAATGTCCCAAATGAAGTTCTAGCATTAAAGTCACTCAGGCTAGAGTTTGAAACCAGCCTGTAATTGTTATATGTGAATGAGAGTAAACAATGTCTCCAAGCTTAGTTTACCTGATTTATAAAATTGGCTCAGTGTTACTCACCGTGGAGACTCATTTGAGGATTAGACATAATACAGTTACTGAACTTAGTTGGTAGTCAACAAATGGCATATAATAAATGTTATGACTACTGCAATTACAAAAATGTAACCTGCCCCTTAGGAATGCAAGCCGCTTACTCCAATCCCAATACACATTTAGATAATGAATCCAATGTTCATCAAAAAAGAAAAAGAAAAAGATACAGTGCTTCTCATCACTTTTTTTTTTTAAAGCCAGAGAGCAACTTGCAGTCAGTACTCCTGCGATTTGGCAACAGATCCTAGTTGCTGATAACTGTCTCTACAGTTTCGGGGACAGTCATGCAAACTGTCCTCCAAAGACTCATTCATGCCACTGCTGCCTAAGCACTGAAGCCTAAGGGCTGTTTAGCTGATCTGAGATGGGGTTAAACATAGCTTGTCTGTTAGGAATGGGTTTCTGGAATAACTTCAATTTCTTCCTCACCTTCCAGATTTATACTGGTTCTGGTGGGGATGAGCTTCCTTCCGCTTGCAAGGAAAATGTATGATCTTGGGTGCCGTCTGGCCTCATTTCTTTCTTTTTTTTTTTTAGATGGAGTCTCACTAGGCTGAGTGCAGTGGCGAGTTCCATCATGGCAACCTCTGTCACTGGGTTCAAGCGATTCTCTGGCCTCCGCTCCCGAGACCTGGGATTACAGGCATGTGTGCCACCACCCCCGGCTAATTTTTGTATTTTTGCGGGAGACGGGATTTCACTATGTTAGCCGGGCTGGTGCCGAACTCTGACCTCAAATGATCCGCCTCCACTTCAGCCTTCCAAAGTGCTGGGATTATAGGTGTGAGCTAACGCGCCGTGGGGAGTCACTTCTCTGCCTCGCTTGAGCTCCATGTGCCACTGCACCTGCTATTCGCGGGTTTGAGGAACTGTATTATGCTTCAGCGCTCTTGAGGACAGAGTAGAGAGGGAGCAGCACAAAGCCAAGACGCAGAATCACAGTTTGGGAGCCTGATAAAAGTTCCAAAGATCATTATTTTATAAAGAAGGAGCTGAGTCACAGATAGAAGGTGGTAATAAGCATATGATTAAAATCCGTGAATTTGTAGCCATATAAACCCGAGATAGTGCCAAACTTTTGTAAATACCTCAACTCTCATGAATTCAAGGTAAAACAGAACTAAATATATGAAATTTATTTATAGGGTTGCTGTGATTATGTGCAAGAAAGCTTGTTTGTTTTCTAGTCAACTCCATTCAGATGTAATAAAACCAACTTCTTCGTTATCTATTGGCTCAGTAATAAATGTAACAGTAAATATTAATTTGTAGGTACTTATTAATTCAGTACCTAAAGCATTTAAAATATAGTGAAAATTAAATAAATATTAACTGCTATGATGATGGTCTTTACCAATTATGGTAGTAGTACACACATTTATAATCCTTTTGTATACTTGAAAGATATAGCATCTATTTGGTTTTTATGCAGGTTGGACAATGAGGGCTAAATAAAAAGTTAGTACATCTGACTTATATAATGCAGAATAAAGTTCATTATATAATATATCATCTAATCTTTAATTTTAGTCACGAGTAATAGAGAGAAATGATTTTAGCTCCACTTGACACGATGAGTGCATACTCAGAGAGGTTACAACACTTGCCTGAAACCCAGTTAATGATTGGAAAGTAGCCAGATCTCTGGCTCACAGACAGTCTCTCTTGACAAGCAAAGATCAGGCAAGCAGCTTATAACTTTAGCTTTTGTCTTGACTCTGTAGCCACTATCTACATACTGAAATGATTTCACTTCAGAAGAAACAAAGAAATTATCATCTATAAAACTAAAACAAAAGTTCTTTAGTTATGGGAGATGTAAAAGGTAGGGAAAACATAATAACAAAGAAAATGAGCAGGCAAATTTATAACCTAAGTTGGAACACAAAAAGCTCCCTAAATTTATATCTCTGTTTCCACACAATGAGTCAATTAATCTTCTAATGTTTATGTGCAAAAACACTGCAGAGTGCTGGTTTTAAGTCGTTAAAGCTAATTAGAAAAACATAATAAGGTAATAGAGAAGTGCTGAAGTTACATTTAGCTCAAGAGGGGAAGCAATTATGTGTATGTGTGTTTGTGCTATGATGCTATAAAGAAAGAAGATAAATTAAAGCTTGTTTGATATCCTGCAGTCTGATTTCCCCAAGGAAGGCAGCCAGGAAAACAGACAGAAATGGGTCACCGTAGAAGTAGCTGCTCTGACCAAGACAGGCAAGAGAAGGTTACGTTGTATTTCACAGAGCTACCAGACTGACACTGACTGAATTGATATGGATTTTTCTGCTCAAACTGATTAAACACACAAGTCATTTGGACACCATTTTGCCCCAGTCTATGATTGTCAGAAAAATTTCTTAATCATGGGATGATTTGCACCTGCCACTAAGCAGCACATTTCAATTGCATTTTAATGACTCACAAAGTCAGCCTTCTGAAAGAAAGTATTTTTTAAAATGCTGTTTTCAAAAATATTAAAATGTCTCTAACAGATCACAGAGTCGAAAATTTCAGGTCAATTTCATGTTTTCTGGGGGGTGAGGACAAGGTAGGGATGGAGAATGAAGGCATACGTGTTTTAAAATAAAAGAAGAGAGTTGGTTCTTCCTCATCTACAGGAGTGCTTCTCAAACTGTAAGGAGATTTAGGGGGAATCACTGCAGATTTTTATTTAGAATCCTGGTTGGGACCTGCATCTGCATTTCGAACTCCCAGGTGATTCTGCAGCTGGTCCAGCACTACTTTGGAGGTCAAAGCCTCTAGACCGCTTGGTTCAAGGTCTGCATTCATGATAGCCATTTTCAATCTTTCTTCCTTTCCACGGCCTCTGGGCCAATCTCCATAAAAAACCTTCCTCTAGCATAGGAGCGAATTTAATTGCGGAATCTAACCTGACTGGAATTAGGCAGGTTTTTTGAATTTGTGTTGAAAAGAGTACATCAGGTAGACAGAGCTTCCAACTGTGGCTCCTGAGGCAGTTTCAAGCCATTCCTGTGTGACTTGGCGCTCCTGGTGGCCGAAAACCCACAGCCAAGCAAATTTATCAGATCAGATTCTGCTTGTTGTATGGTGGTAGGGGAAATATTTTTAAAGAGTTTTTGTAAAATCACAGAGACCAAGGTACAGAACATCTGCGTAGTAGTTGTAGAGCCTAATAGGCAAACTTTGGGAAAATTTGATTGGGGAAAACAGTCCATTGAGAACGGTCGAAGGAAGATAAGAGGCAAGAGAAGTAGTGAAGAAAAAGGCAAAAAGATAAAGAAGTAGAGTCTCAAAAGAAAAAAAGAGACATATCTCTAAACTTGCTTGACTCTAAACTTAGATATATCTCTAAACCTTCTAAATCTTAAATTATGATTCAATAAGTGTGAAAATGTTTGCAAAACAAAAAAAAATTGAACTCACACCATGATTCTCTCATCTGACGCTCGATCACACTTAACACAGTGGCTTCAAACTGTGATCAGACCAGCAGCATCACCCAGGAATCACAGAACGCAAATCGTTGGCCCTACCCAGATCTAGTGCGTCAGAGACTGCAGAGGTGAACCTGGGTGGTGCTGTGCCTTCAGAACTCCCAGGTGATTCTGAGTTACTACTGTGCTTGAGTCACAAAACGTGATGAAATCAAGGTCAGACTTTAGAATTGGCCAGCACTGGTGGCTCACACCTGTAATCCCAGCACTCTGGGAGACCAAGACAGGTGGATCACTCAGTCAGGAGTTCGAGACCAACCTTGACCAACATGGTGAAACCCTGTCTCACTAAAACACGCAAAATTAGGTTGCCCTGGTGGCATGTGCCTGTAATCCCAGCTACTGAGGCTGAGAATCGCTTGAACGCAGGAGGAGGTTACAATGATCTAAGATTGTGCCACTGCACTCCAGCACTCCAGCACTCCATCCCTGGTGACAGGAGGAGACTCCGTCTCAAAAAAAAAAAAAAAAAAAAAAAGAACTGGAATCATCAAAAGGATTTCAGAAATTGAAAAAACAACCAACCACTCCTCAAAAAACCCAATCTTCAACATAAGAATATTTAACATACGTTTTGTTTTGCCTGTTACCGTTAGTTCTCTGCAGTACCTACATGCCTATTGCGTCTCTGTCATAACCACATCATGAGGGAAGAGACCTCCCGCCTGAACACTTGCGGTATCCATTATTCACTGTGAAGGATGTATCTGTTCTACTGCCAGAGGATCTTGCTTCTAACCTCATCCATAGTTCTCATCTCCCACATCTCTAGGATTCTCAAAAGGTCAGTTCAGAATTGTGAAGTGGAAGGCTCTGTCAATGAAAGAAGAATCAGGATGGATTTAGCTGTAAGTCAGAGAGTTTAACCTGATGATTTCCCCATACCTGTGTGTATTGTTGAAGACTTGGTACCTCAGTGATGCAATTATGGTACATTAAGCAGTCTAAGGAGAAGAAAGTCTTTGTTCCAATTATGTACCTGTAATATGAATTTTCATCTTCTTTACCTGCCATTGCAACTCAGCTCTACCATCTCTGTTTCTCATGGCCTTGGGCAAATCTCTTAACCTCTAAGACCCGGTTTCATGTTGCGATATTAAGTATCATGATAGTACCTATCTCATAGGTCACTATGCAGGATGGAATAAGATATAGTTAAGGAGTATTCTAACACTGATCAATCTTAATTGCTAGAAGCGATAAATCATTTTTAAAAGACAATTCAGCAGAGTATGTTCAGAGGGAGCTACAGCATTTGCTATACTAGTTCTTCTCTGAAAGGGAGGCAGCATTCTTGTCATAAAAATATTCACAAGATTTTATAAATAACATGTATCCAATTTAAGGATTTTAGTTAGAAAATAAGTTGGTGTATAGGCAACATATATCCATTCTCTATTTATGGAACACATACTATTCACTATAGTGTGCATAGTAGGAAAATGAGTTTTTTGGTCAATTTAAAATAGGTAACTCCTCAATTGTTCTCACTAAAGAGACAGTGATTGTAAAAGCCTCTCTTTTTCTAGTTTTTAAACTGATGGTCTTTACTTGCATTTTGTCTACTTGTTTTAAATTTTCACTTCCATTTTGACAGCATGATGGAGTTTGAGATGAGTTTTGAGAGGATAATACTACCTCCAAATCCAGGCGTCTCAGCCAAAATCATTGTCCTCTATATG